GATCATCATGGGCTTGCTGTTGTTCACCCCGATCGCATTCCTCGCTTGGTTCCCCTTTGTTTCGGAGTTCCAGACAAGGATGTTGTTCAACCAGGCCTTCAGTAGAGGTCTGCAGATTTCTCGTATCCTAGGCGGACACAAGAAAGACCGGGCTGCGCGGAACAAGGAGTGAGTAGCCGAGTAGGTAGATGGAGGATGATATCGTTAGGCAACAACTCTGCCGGACGATAATGTAAGTGTATGTATGCGTGAGAGAGAGAGGGGGAGAGGGAGGCCGCGGATGGTAAGTTTGCATGGTCTGTTCTGTTGTGGCCTTCCTTGCCTGGTAGTGGTAGTATTGGTTATTGGGCACTGGAGACCCCGAAACTGACCAGGTTATATTGCAAGGAATTCATTTCTGCTAACGTGCCAGGTTGTATATGTGCCTACCTCTTCATGTGCTTTCTTTATATGGTTTTTGTAGGCGACAGAATTTGAGCCGGTCAATTGAGATTGCTCCGTTGCCTCATTGGACATTTGTACCTATCCTCGTTCATTCACTTGTGTAGTGTTTGGTTGAGAGACAAAGTGGAGTGAGAGATATCGTCTCTGTATTAAAGGATATGACTGTTCTATTTCATGTTTGGTTGAGGGAAACATGGTCATCTTTATTCTGTGTTTGGTTTCAGGACATAAAAAATGAGATAAAACAATGACATGTGGGGCCCACATGTCAGCATCTTTTTTTTTTTAAAAAAATCTCTTCTCTGTCTTGCCCCTACTCACTAAACTCTGAGCACCCTGCACTGCCCTCGGCGAGCTCGGCCTCCATGCCGGCGAGCCACCCTTGGCCCTGTGCCTGCAAGCTCAGGATGCCACGCCACCCTCCGTTCACGCCCCCTCTTCTTCCTTGTCTGCTCGTGCTAGTGACGCTTGACCCACTTAGGATGACTCTACCAGTCAGTTTTTTTTGGGGCAGTCTCCTACATATAGGGGAATATTCTATAGTGGGATATCTTTAACTCTGACTTGTCTCTAACCAAACACTATTATAATTGGGTCCGTCTCGTCCCACTTATTAGTCCCTTCTACTAAATACTATCTTTAGTCCGTCATAGTTGTACATGAGGATGCATCCTCGGCTCCTCGCTCTCCCACTCTCCTCGGTTGCCTCGTCTCTAGCAGAAATAAAGTATCCGGATCTGCTCCTAATGCTCTCTTAGGTCATATAATGCTTCTATTTTGAATTACAAATTATTTTATTTTTTCTAGATATACTGGACATAGCATATATTTAGATTTAGCTGTATAATAAAAGCTATGTATAGAAAAAACCACAATAACTTATAATTTAGAATGAAGAAAGTATTAAACAGAAAGTAACACATGTTGTTCTTGAAGTTAGTTGACTTCCACGTGGACAGGGCCATCGTTCATCAATATAGACATTTCGATATTAACAAATAAACATAAAACAAACTATATAAGATTCAAAATAATACAGGCTTTATTTTAGGGGAGAAAATGAAAAATGACCGAGCTAAACTTCTAAGATTAAATAAGATTTTATGATTTTTATTGCACATTTTTAGAATTTTTTTATATTTTCTTGAAAAGTATATATATACTTTTGGTACCTCCAGACTTTCACTTATATTTCGTGAATGACTGTCGTCATATAGAAAACTGATGGACTGTAATATAGGAGACGTGAACTAAAACCGTTTTTAAAACCGTTAAAGAGCAAATTCAAACAGTTTCAGAAGCTAAAGAAAATAAAAAAACTATGTTTTCAATTGGAAAGGTAAATCAAATTTGGGTGAAATTTAGGAAGATCATATGAACTTTTTTTTATTAAAATGGCGTCCCAAGGAGACCTGGGCAACCTATAATACAAAGTCCGTGCTGGGTTGGTCAGCTGAGCGTGCGCTCGGGTTGCCCACCCGAGTTCAAGTGCTAAGGATGGCAACGGGTCGGGTTCGGATCGGGTGGAGTCTCCGTGCACCCAAAACCAAAACCCAAAATCGAAACCCGAATCCGCCCCGGAAACCGATTCGGGTGGAAATCCATCACCAAAACCAAACCCGCGGATACCCGAAACCCGCGTATATATATACACATATTCACATATATAAACAAGAGGCAACAAATAATAAATATTTTTATGAGTCAACTTTAAATAAATTTAATAATCTAAGTAAACAAATTATTATTAGTATATTATAAAACATGAGTTTTAATTCTAAATGATTTATTTCGGATATCCATTGGATATCCACGGGTGGAAAACCAAACCCGAAACCGAACCCAATTGGTTTCGGGGCCCCGAACCCGAAAACCGTGGGTGAAAAACCATCCCCAAACCCGAACTCGCAGAATCCAAAACCCGCGGATATCCGCCCCAAACCCGATCCGTTGCCATCCTTATCAAGTGCTGACATCGAGTGTCTCACCCATGGGATATATTCCCCATTAATAAATTCAGTTGCCTAGTACGGATGAGCCACAACTGTTATATTTCTCAACTGTGTACTCTTAATCCTAAATATAGTCTGTAGGTCTAGCTTACTCACTAGGGGTGTGGATGTGTTAGGACATGTTTGGTTGGCGACCAAATCTTGCCACGCCTGACCTTCGACAAACTGTGGCTGCCACAGAAAGTGTGGCAAGTAAAATCGAAGCAAAACTTGTGGCAAGTTATGGTACGAAAATGAGTCTATGACATGTGAGGTAGGGTGCTAAAAAAGTTCAGCGTTTCATAACTGTGGCAGTGAACCAAACAATTACCGAAGAAACTGTGGCATGACCAACCTTTGACATGGCAAGCTTTTGTCTCCAACCAAACACACCCAGTGTGTGTGCCCATGGTGTGTGTTAATACGTGAGTTCACATACGAAGGTTGGGGTATAAAAAGATACCATCCAAGGTCGGTTTAGAATGCATAAATTTTAGAGAAACTGTGTAGAAAATTTATAGAGATTAGTTTAATAATTTAGAAAAGCAGGAACAAAGCGTTCGAATCTTGTGCTGCTCTCTCCGTCTCAAAATAAATGCATGTCTTGTTTTATGAGGAGTTAAACTTTTTAAAGTTTGACTAAAAATATAAAAAGTAATATCACTAGCTCCAAATAAGTATATTATGAAAATATATTTCATATTTAATCTAACGATACTTATTGTATATTATAAATAGTAGTATATGTATGTATTTGATCAAACTTTTTAAAAAATTTAGAGTACTGCGTTGTGCGGTGCGCCTGGCCACCTGGTGCTCTCTGCTCTCGAATATCGATAGTTAGTATTTCTTTCTAATTTTTCTTCTGACAAAAAAAGGATCATCTATTCTGATCGACTGCCCACCTTGGCCTGCCCACCCACCCATCTCTGTTGTGGTCTGGTCTGGTCTGGTTTGGTCACTTCTTCTGAGGGTGGGTTCCCTCTCTTCCCTTCCCCATTCTCTCGCTCCGCCTCTTCGAGCTAGGGTTAGGGTTTGCTTCACGTTCCCTGGGAAATTGATCGAATCAGGCACCTCTAGCCGATGTCCTCACCGATCCATCCGTTCATCGATTCGATCAAGTTTCCACCAACTCTCGACATCATCAATCTCGCCGCCTCCATTCTTTTTGAGATATAGAGGGGAAAGTAATAAAAAGGACAAAGTAGTAAAGGGATTTCCTTGATCCCATCATCTCTCAGCCGTTTACTCTTTATAGGTCTAACTTACGCACTAGGGGTGTTGATGTGTTAAGGTGTGTGCGTTGGTGCGTGAATTCAGATACTATAGCTTGTACTTAAAGGTTGAGGTAATAAAAAAAGAAATACCACCTAAGGTCAGTTTAGAATGCAAAAATTTCTAAGAAATTGTATAGAAATTTTATAGAAATTAGTTTAATAATTCTTTTTTTAAAAAATGGAGCAGTTCGAATCCCGTGGTACTCGGTTACGCGGACCGCGGGGTGCTCTTCGCTCCTTAGCAGCATGGGAGCGGCAACATGGCCCACATTTCCGTTCCCACATTTCACCTTATAAAATGAATACCAAGTTCCCATGAAAGGTAATGGAACATGGCTGACTTTTTTTTAGGGATGGGACTCCGGTTTCAAATCTCTGATAGCTATTGCTTTCAAGAATGCTATACAATACACATGTGTTTTAACAAAAAAAAAACACATGGATTTTAGTCCACCGGATCGTTGCCTTGGTTTATCCGCGTCCGTCAGATCTGCGTCCGTCAGGCACCAGCAGCGCACCAGCAGATCTGCGCTTTCTTATGACGAACGACCCATGACACACGCGACGACCCATGACGTGACACCAGTAGTGCACCAGCAGCACAGCACCAGCACCGGCCAGGGAACCACGACGCGACGACCCATGAAGAACGGGCAATGGAACCAATCCCTCTATATTTTGTTCTTCCATAGAAAAAAAATTGTTTTCTGTGATATGTGATTTGTCATATTTGGATCTATGATCTTGTGATTGTCTGGAGGTAGAAGAAGGATGAATGTTGTTAGATCTTAATTTTATGGTGCAAAAAAATTTATATATTGAAATTGTATAAAACATATAGTTATGCACTAGACAAACTCGTTGCTTTTCTTTCTAATTTTTCTTCTGATAAAAAGATCATCTATTCTGATCGACCTGGCCACCCACCACCCATTTCTGCTGTGGTCTGGTCACTTCTTCTCGTTCCCTCTCTTCCCTTCCCCATTCTCCTGCTCCGCCTCAAGTTAGGGTTAGGGTTTGCTTCGCGTTCCCTGTGAAATTGATCGAATCGGACACCTCTAGCCGGTGTCCTCACCGATCCATCCGTTCATCCTTCGATTTGATCAAGTTTCCACCACCTCTCGACATCGTCAATCTCGCGGTCTCGCCGCCCTTTTTTGGGGGGAGGGAGAGAGAGGGGGAAGTAATAAAAGGGACAAGCTAGCAAGGGGATTTCCTTGATCCCACACATCATCCTGCTACAAATCCTTTAAATTCGAACAAGGAGGAGGAAGAAGAGAGCAAGCCCATGGATCCCAGCCAGATGATGTTCCCCATCTGGGGGGCGCCGCCTCCCGCCGCCTTGCAGCCACCCTCCGAGGACCACGCCGCCGCCCCCAACGCGCAGCCGCAGCCCTTCCTCCCCCCTCCCAATCCCAACCGCGGCTGGAAGCGCAAGAATCCCGCCGCCGCCTACCAGCCACCGGCCCTCGGCGATCTCCAGGTGCAGAACCGCGCCAAGGCTCGCCGCTGGTTCAAAAACAACGGCGGCGGCGGCGGCAACCCCAACCCCAACCAAACCCGCAAGTATTTCTTCCCCAAGAACAAAAACAACAAGGCCGCCGCGCCGCGCAACACCACCTCCTTCATCATCCGGGCCAAGCGCGCTGGCGGCATTGCCTCCCTCGTCTCCCCTTGCCCCGTCACGCCCGCCGTGCTCCCCACCCCGCGTCTCTCCCCCTCCCGCGAGGGCCTCGCTGACATGGCCCAGGCGCAGTGGGGCGTCGATGGGTACGGCTCCATGAAGGGCCTCATCCGCCTCCGTAGCTCCCCCCAGCCAGCCAACCCCAATGCTGCCGCATCTGATGACGATGACGAGGGGAACTCCAGTGGAAGCGATGTCGAGGAGCACGTCGAGGTGGAGCGACGCCTTGACCATGACCTCAGCCGCTTTGAGATGGTGTACCCTGGTAGAGGGGAGGATGCTGGGGGCTACGTGTTGGAGGACGAGGACGAGTATGACCAGGATGCGCATGTGGCTCGCCTTGAGGAGGAGAACCTGACGCTAAAGGAGAGGCTCTTCTTGATGGAGCAAGAGGTTGGTGACATGAGGCGCCGCCTGGAGGCCCTTGAGGCACGATTCTCTCTAGGTGGTGGTGTTGGAGGTGGTGAGAATGAAGTGGAGGAAGCTCCTCCTCAGAATGATGCAGAGAGGATCCATATCGGCTCAGAGAATAGCAGCGAGGATGATGTAGAGAGGGTTCGTGTGGGATCCGAGAAGAGCAGAGCACAAGCTCAGGGTGCCATGGGTTTGGAGCAGTCTAGCGGGGACGATACCGAGGAGCAGGGTGCTGCACATTCAGAGATGACTGGTGGAAATGGTTCAGGTGAGCAGGATGGTGTTGGTGTTTTGGAGAAGACTGATGTGCACAATGCAGAGAAGCAGCAGGGTGCTGCGGGTTCAGAGAAGACTGGTGGTGCAGATGAGCAGGATGTCGTTGGTGTTTTGGGGAAGACTGGCGCGCACAATGCAGAGAAGCAGCAGGGTGTTGTGGGTACTGAGAAGACAGGTGAGCACAGCATAGAGATGGTTGATTCAGCGTTAGAGGAGAAGATGGATGAGGACAATGGCGAGGATGAGGTTAGGCTCGCGCAGCTTCGCAGTGAAGATTGATGGGAGATGGACAAGAGAAGTAGCTCAGTACTGGTTATTGGTGCTGTACATACTTGTCAATGAAAGATGAAGGGATGCGAGCGACATGGAATGGACTTGCTTTTGGAGACTGACATGTTGCGTATATGTTTTCTGTCTTTCACTTTGTTTTTCTTGTTACTACAACTTGTTATGATGATCTCAAAGTGGCAGACATGGAGGAAATAACTGAGATGATGAATTTGTTGTCATAATCATTGTCCCGGATGGGTGGTTTTCTGATGTTGCGCTGTTTATGTGTTGCTTATATATTTCTCTCTTTTTTTTATATAGAAGTTGCTTATATATTTCTGTCTATAGAGTTGTGGTGCGTATACCTGAATCTGAATGTATCGTCCGTTTATGTCATTTGCTTGGAATTGTAAAATGCGGCAGCATCTTATATATCTTATATATTACTCATCACGTAATAATGTGAATGTGAGCTGAACATGGCGTGATCCTGCCTGTATTTTTTTTTCCTTTTTGGGTTGTTGAAAGGGTTTGATGTTGTTGTTGTTGTTGAAAGGAGCCTGTAAAATGAATTCAGGCGGCGGCTGAGAGACATGCTGGTCAGCTGATGCCTGATAAGGTCCGTTTACATGCGAAATTTTTTGACTTTTGGCTACTGTAACACTTTTATTTGTATTTAACAAAATTGTCCAATTATGGACTATTTAGGCTTAAAAGATTTGTCTCGTCAATTACGGGTAAACTGTACAATTAGTTATTCTTTTTACCTACATTTAATGCTCTATACATATGGATAAGATTTGATGTGACGAAAAATCTTAAAAATTTTGAATTTTGGGTGGGATCTAAACATGGCGTAACTTTGTCGAGCAAGGCAAGGGAGAGGAGACCCAACCGGAGCCAAAGAGGAGAGCTGTAGATTTAGGATCCAACGGCCACAATCCGTCCTTCCCTCGTCCTCACCTTTGTCCGTTGACCACTACCCGCGATCCCAGTCCCAGTAGCAGCGGCACCAGATCTCGACGGCGGCCATGGACACCCCCACGGCGAAGGCGTCGTGGAACGCCAACTACGGCGTCGTCGGCAGCGGGGACCGTCGCCTCGCCTTCTCCCGCCAGCTCTCCTCCAACGCCATCACGCCGCGCCTTGCCCGCTCCGACTCCTCCATCTCCATGCCCATCCCCCTTCCCCTTCCCTCGGTCTACGAGGGGCCCAAGCCCAGCAGGAAGCTCCTCCGCCTCGCCACGGCCAGCCGCCCCATGCGCCGCCTCGCCCTCCTCCTCGCCCTCAACGTCGCCTACTCTGCCACCGAGTTCGCCATCGGCCTCTTCACCGGACGCGTAGGTATTACATTACATCAACAAGGGCTCCATGACTCAGATTACGACAAAGTTAATCAATCCTAGGGCTTCGTCGATCGATTCATTGCAAGCACTTCTGTGTCAACAGCATGCTGCTACTGCATCCTATAAACTATTATTGCATCCTACATCTACTACTCGGTATATCTGCTTCATTTATGCTGCTGGATGGAAGAGGAACTCAGAGCAGTGATCACTGGTGCCCTTGTTTTGCAGGCTTAGTCTCAGATGCTTTCCATCTCACCTTTGGATGCGGCTTGTTAACTTTCTCATTGTTCGCTATGGCTGCATCTCGAACCAAGCCTGACAACCTCTACACTTACGGGTCAGTCTCCTCATTCCCTGTTCTGTTCATCCGTGCACTGATTCACACTCACTTATTGTTGCTTGCTTTCTTTCAGGTACAAGAGATTGGAGGTTCTGGCTGCCTTTACAAATGCTGTAAGCTTCCAAAACCTTCCATCTTATGAATACGTGTGCATACAGTTGTACGGAATTCTCTCATATTATTAATAATGTCATCAAGTCCAACTTTCAAGTTTATGTTAAACATTTGTTCGATGATAGAGCTGAAATTCATCCATGGTTTACATCTTCACTTGATTATCATGTGTACTGTCCCTACAACTTGCCGAAAACAAAAATTTAACACTCTGTTCATGTGCTTACATATGGTATAGCGGTTTTGAGTATTACACTTGATTTTAACCCTTTGTGACATTTTGTTTTGTGCTAACATTTTGACCATCACCATATGGTTCTTTGTGTAGACAGCTGTTTCTATTGTTCCTGTCTTTCTCCTTGGCTGTTGAAGCATTGCATGCTTTTATGCAAGATGAATCGGAGCACAAGTAAGTGCCATTTATGTTAAGTGTCTTCAGATGGGATGATAGCTGTTTCTGCTGTTAGTAGTCTTCCTCCACTGCCTTTCTGTGGGTTCATGCTGACACCTGCTTATCTTCTAAAAAAACTATCTTGCAGGCATTATCTCATTGTTTCTGCTGTCACCAATCTTTTGGTTAATTTACTTGGTGTTTGGTTCTTTCGGAGCTACGCTCGTGTTAACATAGGTATGGAAGCAACTTATATCCTGTTGCTTCTAGTGCAAATGGCGATTTTGTACTTGTTTCCATGTCAGATAAGAGTTGAAACTTAAACATAATTATGATTGCCAGTTTACAGGAATGCAGAGGATATGAACTACCACTCGGTCTGTTTGCATGTGCTGGCAGATTCGATACGGAGGTACATGCATTCTCAGCCATTTTTGTGCTCTTCCCTTGTACACTTCAAACTTTGGTGCCTTGCGGGTCGCCACACCATTGGTTTTAATTGGCGCTTGTTAATTCTTTCACAGTGCAGGATTGATACTAGCTTCTTGGTTTCTTTCATTGGGGTAAGCCTACCTTTGATGGTTTTCCACTTTTCCTATGCTTCCCATTTATCATGGTGACTTGTGGCCATCTGTTTAGTCCTTTTGTGCTCCTATCCGTAGGGTTGAGAATGCTGAAGTTCTGTGCCTGGGAATTGTCTCGGTGGCAGTTTTTATGCTGGTTCTGCCGTTATTTAAAGCCACCGGTAATATCCTACTGCAAATTGCACCTAGCAATGTGCCACCTTCAGCATTTACAAAGTGCTCCAGACAGGTAAACAATGCCTCAAGTAGACGTAGTTGTTCATTTGGTTGAAAAAGAAAATGCACTTAAGACACATGAGTAAGTGATAGATATTCTCCAGATTGCTGCTTGTGAAGATGTCTCCGAACTATGGCAAGGTCGATTCTGGGAGCTTGTTCCTGGTCAGGCAGTTGGATCTGTCTCCATCAGGGTAAATAAAACCCTTGACACAGTTTCTGCAAAGCCCATTATTTGCACTGAAGCAATTCCTGATGTTGGCTGTTTTGCATTGCATTATATAGGTGAAGAGCGGCGCAGACGACCGGGCAGTCCTTGAATACACGCATGGTCTGTATCAGGATTTGGGCATACAGGATCTGACCGTCCATACTGATGAGTCGTAGTAGTTTGTTTCTGAGTCCCCCGTACGCCATATATATCAACATTATTGGGAAAAAGCTAGAGCGGTAGAGCCAGTGTGGCACTGCTCACTGCATACGACAGGTTAGATCAGCGCTGTGCTGACATTTTGTGACATGATATATACCCAAATCAATGGAATGGTTGTTTTATAGTACACACAAGACGCAGGAATGAACAAAATGAATGTGCATGCGCCATGGACATAGATACATATGCATGCATACACACAATTATACGGTGTATATATACTCACAGCAGCTAGAAAAAAAAACTTTATTCATGCCCTGCCTTTGGCCTGGTGGAAGGCGCTGGAGAAGTTGGGGATCCTGTCCAGGTGGCGGAGCGCGCGCTCCGCGGTCTGCCGGGTGCGGACGTCGCCGTTGCGGTAGGCCTCCACCAGCGCGGACGCCACGGTCTGGTCAGCCGCCACCTCCAGCGCGATGTCCTCGACGCGGAGGATGCGCTCCACGGCCCACACCGCCCGCCGCTGCAGCGCCTCCGTCCGGTTCTCCACCAGCACCTCCACCACGGGGCGCAGGCCCTCCGCCTCCCCGACCACCAGCACCCCCTCCGTCGCGTTGGCCACGCCGTCCCCCACCAGCGTGGACAGCGCCGCCAGCGCCGCCTCCACCACGCGGGCATCCGCGTGCTCCAGGCACGCCACCAGCCACTCCACCGCCTTGCACCCGCCCTCCGCGAGGCAGAACGTCTCCCGCAGCGAGCAGAAGCCGCCGTGGACGCGGCACGTCCCCATGGCCCCGGGCGGCTGCGGCTGCGGCTGCTTCCCCTGCCTGGGGCCCCCGAAGCACCCGCACATGAGGCTCCGAGGCGGCGGCGGCTCCGGCACGTCCGTCAGCCTCGCCGACTGCAGCGACAGGTTCTCCAGCGCCATGGCCGAGTAGAGCAGCACGGCGTCCTGCCCGCTGCTCATCTGCTGCAGCAGCTCCACGAACAGCGGCGCCAGGCCCACCTCCCGCGCCAGCTCCACGTACACCTCCGCCTCCTCTTCCTGCAGCGCGCACGTCACCCTGTACAGCACCTTCACCGCCCCCTCCGTGAAGGGTGCCACGTGCCGGTTGCCGCGGATCGTGCCCCGCCGGAGCTCCACCAGCTTCGTAGCCAGCGCCCGGAACGCGCCCAGCTCCTGCAGCTGCCGCGTCAGGTTCCAGTCCCTCTCGGGGAGGTCGCCCAGCAGAGCCACGGCCGCCGCCTGCTCCTCCGTCACGCCGCTCCGGTGGTCTTCGGTGACGGTGACCACCCCCAGCAGGCTGCCCAGGTGGCCGGTGCTGCCTCCTTGGCCGAGGGCGTCCGCGAGCTCCGCGCCCATGTACGGCGACACGTTGCGCAGCAGCTTGAGGGACTCCACGCGGATCTCCCGGTGCGCGGCCTCCACGAACTGGATCAGGCTGATGGTGGCCCCGGAGCTCCGGATGGCGGAGACCACGTCGGCCACCGTCGACGGGGAGCCGGTGAGCCCCACGAGGACGTTGAGGAGCTTGCACTCGATGGCCGGCCCGGTGTTGCTGATGAGGTGGAGCAGGCTGTGCACCATCTCCTCCGACAGCAGCGTCTCCTCGCTCTCGTCCAGCGGGATGGACCGGAAGCTGGCGCCCGACGCCACCAGGTTGGACAGGATCGCGGCCGACACCTCCTTGAGCCTCATGGGCAGGTGGCCGGCGCCCAAGGAGAAGAGGTCCTTCACCAGCGGCGGCAGGATGCCCGCCTGGAGCAGGATTTTGGCGCTGGACTCGTTTGACGATATCTCCCTCAGGGCTTTGAGCGTGGCCTCTCTCGCCGGAAGGCTGCCCGTCTTCATGATGCTCACGAGCAGAGCCCCGACCTGCTCTGCCACCACAACCTTCACGTCGTTCGCCAACGCAAGCTCACCAAGGTATTCAGCCATGGCGACCTGAACTTCAGGTGTGCCTGCGGCAGTTTATATATTCAGCCTTGTGATCCGTTTTGCAAATTGCAAAGTTGTATTGGAGAAAGAAGAAGCAGATTGATTGGCAACAAGGGAAGTGCACTGCAATTGCATGTATAACATACCTTCAATAAGTTTTGTAAGCAGAGGCTGAAGCCTGCCGTTCTCAGCCATTTGCTTGACGTTTGTTTCATACTTCTCCAGATTCTTGAGCGTGTTCTCGGCTTTCTCCACAGCCACACCATTCTCTGATTTGCTGCTTACCATCCCAACCAGTAGGAGTATGGCCCCATAGATTGCGCCGATCCTTTCGCATATAGGATCGAGCTTGGAGAGCTCGTACAATAGAGACACTGCAAGCTCCCTCTCTTGGAAATTCTCACTGGACAGGAACTTGATGATGGTGCGTATGGTGTCACCTTTCCCCAGCTCTTCCTATACATATACATGCATGCATACAAGGGAGGGAAATGAAGCATTATGCTTGTTGGATGCAGCATCAGGATTCAGGAGTATGAGCCATTCATGCTGATTCATATGGGTTCAAGGGAATTCTGTTTTAAAGCAAACAACACCAATTATGCAACGGAGACGACGGACCTTATTTTCATCGTTGTCCTCGACGATGAGACGAAGGACTTCAAGGGCCTTGAGGCGAACCCTTCTGCTGCTGCTCTTGAGCAGGTCAGTGATGGTGGGTATGACGCCTTGCCTGCGCACGAGGGTCTTCTTGGCGGCGCTCCTGTGGCACATGTGGGAGACGTAGAGGAGCGCGCGCAGGGTGTCGGCGTCGTCTTGAGCAGACACAGAGACAGACGCAGGCACAGCCTGGGCGAGGGAAGCGAAGGCCTTGTCGAGCTCCTTGTCCTCGTTCCTGGCCCTCCACTCGTCGATGACGTTGCGCAGGGCGATGCTGGGGCTGATGTCGGTGCTGCGCAGCTCCGCCTGCGTGAGCGGGCACGTCGGCTTCCTCCCGCTGTCCCTGCACTCCCTGAACCACTTGAGGATGGCCTCCCGCTCGAAGGTCTGCCCCGTCTCGATGGTCACGGGGTCGTGCATCACCTGCCTGGTGAGAGGGCACATGAAGGCCTCGAACGCCGGCTCCTGGTACCCCTCGTTGGATTGCTCCTCCAGCTCGCTGTCGCCGCCACCAAAATCATGTGCCACCGCCATCTATCTTCTTTGACTTCGATTCAGTTCAATTCAATTCCGACGATCTATGTCTGCCTGCCTGTCTGTCAAAACAACAATCATCCTATGAGCTGCGGAAAGTAAAATTCCGATGGATATGGATGATTTCGTCGTCTTCTTTTTTTCTGACCGGACCCCTCTTTCGGTTGAGGACACAAATACAAATTACAAACTACGTACAACGTAATAAGAAGAAATCCTAGCTTAACGGTGAGGTGAGCACCAACTAATTTATGCTAGCGGATGATGAGGGCCTAGCACAGCACTAGTAGCAGCTAGCCTTTGAGAGAAATTAGTTAATTGAAAGGGATCAGGGATGGGACTGCCCGTCCATGTCCATTGTTGAGCTTGAGCACGGCAATCAATCAGCTTCTGCATAAACAACAAAGGAAACGAACCTCACCCACCCACCAACCAACTGTACTGTACATACCAATCAATCAGCGGGCAGCGGCGGCGAGGACGGAGAGGGGGACGGCGTGCCGGCGAACAGGTCCGCGCCTGGGCTGGTGGCGACCTGGGAGGGGAAACGAGACGAGGATTCGAGACGAGCTCGGCTCCCGGTCCCGGCGTGCGGCGTTGAATGGAACTATGCAAGGGGAAGGAGCCGACGCCGAGCTGGCCCGGTCGTCTTCTCTTCTCTTCTCCGCCCGACTACACAGGCTGCCATGCGGGGCCCCCACCCAGGCCGTGTTTGATTTTTGATAGGGTCAGCTTCGCTTTGGCTTGGTTTGGCGGGGTCGTCAAGTCAACTAACCCAACCCACGGAGGCCACCTGGGCAGGCCCCCTTCCTTTACCTTTGCCCATTTTGCTTCCGGCCTCCCGCTAGAAAATATAAAAATTCAAAAGCCACAACAATCATATCTCTCTCTCTCTCTCTCTCTCTCTCTCTATATATATATATATATATATATATATATATATATATATATATATATATACACACACACACAGTAACTCAAGTCGTTCTGGATAGCGACACGGTCTCTAAAACATAACTTTAGCTCTTTATTTTTTATAAAAATATTTATTAAAAAATGATATATGTATATTTTTTATGAAATTACTTTTCAAGACAAATCTATTCAAATGGTTTTCACATTTTCAAACTTAACAACTTAAAAGTTATTCATGATTTATATTCTCAATGTTTGATCTAAGCCTTGTCCAAAACGACTTGAATTATCAGTATGGAAGGAGTATATATAAACGGATGAATTTTCAATTGCAGTTGGGAGCACTCTTTTTTTTTTTGAACATACAATTATAAGTGAAGGCATATGATTTTGGTACCATAAGCTTGCAAGCGAAACTTACGGGTTCAAGTGTGTGTGTATGGATCTATCCCATATATAGTAAGAGCATCTCCAGCAGTTCCTCAATAATCTTTCCCTAATTATGTATTGGGGTAGCCTAATATCATCTTTTGTTAATATTGGGGAGTTGCTGCAGCAGTACCCCAATATATCCCCCCACTACCCATATGGAAGGTGGGTCCCACAGGAGTGTAAGAAAAAATATAGCTCAAAAGTGGTAGTTGGTATGATCCCCGTGGTATTGGGGGAGTTGTATCTCCAAAAAAGGAAGAGGTATTGGGGAACTACTGAGAAAAAGGCATAGTTGTCCCCAATATGTCAGTTTTATAGGGATAAGGGGGGTATTAGGGATGCTCTAAGTGAAGAAAACAGAATGGTATGCTTATTGCTTACATATACAATAGCGTCAATCATTTCTCTCTCTTTCGGCTGTTCATATCGATGTTGAAAATAACTAGCATTTTGCAGCAGCGGTGGATCCATAAACGAGGCACCAGGGGGACTGAAAGTTAGCGTGTGTTTGGTTCTAGGACCATGTGGGATGGGTCGGACCTGACCTAGTTTTTTGGGTTGGGTTGGCCCCATCTCGTGTTTGATTGATAGGGATAGGTCTGACCCGGTTCCCTGTTTGGTTTGAAGACATGGATGTGGGATGAGGTAGCAGACGTATAGGGCCCACATGTCATTCTCTCCTCCCTCTTCTTCCTCCCCCCTTCGTTTTCTTCTCTGGTGTCGTTCCTCCGTCGTTGCCGCTGTGGACGGCTCCCTCGTCGTGGCTTGCTCTCCTCGGCCCGACCGTGGCCTGCTGCGCTGTCATGCCCTGCTGCTCTTCCTCCCAGACGCGGCTTGCTGCGCCGCTGTGGCCTGCTGCCCTTCCTCCCGGACACGGCCTGCTGCACCACCGTGCCCTACACCTCCGCTCGACCACGGCTCGCCGGCGACGAGGCCTGCTGCTCCTCCATCCAGGGCCGGAGGGAGGATGAATTGGAGGGAGAAGGGACCAAGGGAAGAGGAGATCCGGAGGAAGGAGAAGCACCGGAGGGAGGAGGGGCGGTCAGGAGGGGGAGCGGGCTGCCGCCGCGCCTGGCCGGCGGTCTCCTCCCTTGCGCCACTGGGAGTCGCCGCCTACGAGCGAGTCGAGGTCTGGAGTCACGAGTGAGAGAGGAACAGGGGCTGCGTCGCACGTGAGAGAGAACACGAACTGGGTCAACCTCGTCCGCTCGTTTCGATGGAATGGGAGCAACCTGCATCTGGAGCGAATATTCACTACTGGGTTCGACCTGGGTTTGGGAACCTTCCATCCAAACACCTCAAAATCTGGGTTGAACCTGCTCCAACCCATTTGCCCCCTCTATCCAAACACACGCTTAGAGGGTCTGACCGGGTTGGGTTGGACCTTCTAGGCTAGAGTTTCCACGTATTGTTGAAAGAGATAATTTAGTAGTTATAGTCCGTTTTTGTTTTGGGCTGGAGCCCCCTAGTGTTGGGTGCAAATTCTCCCCTATTTAGGTATGATTTGGTCAAACCGCTATTGCAGCTATAGCGGTTGCTAAGCTATTTAGTGTTTTGAGAAAAATACATGCAATTTACATGCTAAAACAACCATTAATAATGCAACAAAAAAACCAAGTGATTGGTCACATAACATAAGAGGTAAGTAGGTGGAAGATAAGGTATACATATCACAAGTACTTGTCCGGCAGCCTAAGACATAATCAAACACCAACCGGGCAATCACATCACATAATTAAAAACGCTAACCGGACAATCAAATGTCGGTTGCCTAAATCTTAACTTGATAGAATACGTGGAATCAAGCGTCGATAGCACACTAAATTGTCTACGCCGCTATTGCCTGATATAAGACCGATGACGACCATAGTGCAAAAAAGGAAGAAACTCCGGCCGCTATTTGGCCTCAAAATTTGTTTGAGGGCTACCAAAGAAAGGCAAATTTCAATCGGGATCAAATTTTTTTCTCTTTTCAATATCGCTTCATATACTTAGCCACTATAGCCAACTATTTTCAACATTGGCGCAAAATTGAATTGATCTCCACAAACTGAAGTACTGAACGTGGTAGAGGAAATCCATAACGAGCCTTGATCACCGGCTCAACCAATTATCCTTTTTTATTAGTCTAAAAAAAACAATCATCCTTTTTAAGAAAAAAATGAAGAAATACACACAAAAAAAAATGACCGAGCCCCCGGCGAGGATCGAACTCGCGACCTTTCGCTTACGAAGCGAACGCACTACCACTATGCTACGGAGGCGGCTACTTTTATCACATTTTGGAAGTCCATTAATTTTCAGGCTACAGGTTTATCGGTGTCACGGCTGGCAACCGCGGCATGCGGTGGCTCCCCATTTTTAGCATGGAGACACGCGATCGGCGGTTCTGGAGACGACCACATTGCCGGTCCCTCCCTCCCTGTTGGTCGGTGGTCCTTCACCTCCTCCTCCGATCCCCTGCGCGTTCTTTGCATTGCATTGCCTTGCCTTGGCAGCCCACCAGTTGGATCGATCGATCGATCCATGGTCGGCTGCTCTGTCGGCGGCCGCCGGAGCTAGCCTAGCCAATTAGCCATGATGAACTGCTTGATCTCTTGGAGCCCCCGCCTGCGTCTCTGCTACCACCGCGACGTGGATCCGTCGTCCCCCTGCTGCAGCCCCTCCAGCTACGCCGCCCAGACCCAGAGCTCCGTCCACCTGCGCTGCAGCGGCGGCGTGGCGGCCGCGGGCGGCAGCGTCGTCAGCGGCGCCGGCACCACCACCACGACCACCCGCAAGTTCACGCTGGCGCAGCTGTCAGCGGCCACGGGCGGGTTCCGTGACTCCAACCTGGTGGGCGAGGGCGGGTTCGGCAGGGTGTACAGGGGCCGGCTGGACGATGCGGCAGCCGGCGGCCTCGAGCTCGAGGTGGCCGTCAAGCAGCTTTGCCGCGGCGGCGCGCAGGGCAGCCGCGAGTTCCTGGTGGAGTGCAGCATGCTGATGATGCTGCGCCACCCGAACCTGGTGTCCCTGGTGGGCTACTGCGCCGAGGCCCAGGAGCGGCTCCTCGTCTACGAGCTCCTCCCGCGGGGCAGCCTGGACGCTCACCTCTTCGTCTCCAAGTCCCTTGCCTGGGACGCCCGCGTGAAGGTCGCCGTTGGCGCCGCCCGCGGCCTCCGCTACCTCCACGAGGTGGTGGCGCCGCCGGTGATCTACCGCGACCTCAAGTCGTCCAACATCCTGCTGGGCGACGACCTGAGCCCCAAGCTGTCGGACTTTGGGCTCGCCAGGCTGGGCCCCGAGGGCGACGACACCCACGTGTCCACGCGCGTCATGGGCACCTACGGTTACTGCGCGCCGGACTACGCCGTCACGGGGAAGCTCAGCGTCAAGTCCGACGTCTACAGCTTCGGCGTCCTGCTGCTGGAACTGCTCACGGGGCGAAGGGCCTTCGACGCCCACACTAACGCTACCGCTACTAGGGATGAGTCAGAGGAGGAGGACGAGGAACGACAGCAGGAGCAGGAGCGGCGGCTGCTGGTGTGGGCACGGCCCCACCTGCAGCAGCTGCAGGGGCGGGGCAGGGGCAGGTGCCTGGAGGCGCTGGCGGACCCGGCGATGCAGGGGCGGTACCCTCGCCGCGGACTCTACCAGGTGGCCGTCATCGCCTCGCTCTGCCTGCACGACGAGCCCAACCTCCGCCCCACCATGACCGACGTCACGCAGGCGCTGGAGCACGTGGCGTCGCAGCCCTGGAGGGTTGTTAGTTGTAGGGATAGAGACGGCGATCAGGAGGAGGCTGCCGGCGGCGGATCATCGAGATGGGGACGGGGACGGGGACGGGGACGGGGACGGGGAGGCACTCCGCGCGCCTCCGCCGCCACTGCCGATGACAGCTGGTCGTCCCGGCGGTAGCAGCGAACCACCACCTTGTCGGATGGCGCGTTACTGCAGAACTAGCGCCGTTCATTTTGCTCCATCGGTTGATGACTCGCTCACTCAGGGTATTATTTGTACAGCAAGAACGATGTGAGAGTGTATATATACGAATGATAATAATGCAATATCTCTATCTCCATATGACGAAATCAAGAGACCGTCGACTAGGCCACGTCGCCCACAATTCTCGGCCGTACGATCACATGGTATATCAAATCGAGTCCGTCTATCCAGTGCTCACGTGCAAACGTGCCAGGGTAGAGCTCAAGCTCTCGCCCAGTTTTGTTTCACTACGGTTGTCTTGGAACACGAAGATGACCCCGCTATTTCCCCCCCTAAGGCTAAACAAAGGAAGCAAATGCTAAAGACTTTCATTCTTTTTTTGCCGGCAGTAACGTTAATTGTGATATGAGTTTGATTTTACCCTAAACACAACATGTCAGATTTTTCACCTACAAATCCCGTGGGTAACCATCACGGCCATGCATGGTGGGCAGCAAGTGCGACGGCCGGGAGCCCATGCCACAGAAGCGGCCACGAGTATGTATGTATATATATAGTATTTAGTACTAGGAGAGCAAGGAGGAATTATAGCACATCATATTATTAGACATGGAACAAAAAGATCAGTAACATTGGTTACATATGGCTCGTCATTTGAGCCATTCATAGGATAATATTAGCATAGTACAGTGCTGTTTCAGTTGGACATAGATACTCATTTTGCCATGGGCGAAAGAACTTTCAATGTTTGGCAAAGCCATGCACCTGGCGAGCGAGGCTTGTTATAGGAATGTGTTCCATCAGACTGATTACGATCGTAAAAGATGAGTAGGTCAAAGAAGAAGAAAACACTGAGGACCTGGAACTGTGCAGGCAGACTGAAAAGTATGTAGTTTAGTTAAAAAAAAAGAGCTGTGTAGGCAGACTGAAAAGTACGGTATTTGGGTGTACATATTGCAGCAAAAGTAAGGTTTTCACATATAGGGGTACTACTGTACAACAACAACAACAACATAGCCTTTAAATCCCAAACAAGTTAGGGTAGGCTAGAGTTGAAACCCATCAGAAGCAATCAAGGTTCAGACACGTGAATAACTGTCTTTCAAGCACTCCTATCTAAGGCTAAGTCTTTGAGTATATTCCATCCTTTCAAGTCTTCTTTTATTGCCTCTACCCAAGCCAACTTCGGTCTTTCTCTGCCTCTCTTCACATTACTATCCTAGCTTAGGATTCCACTACGCACCGATGCCTCTGGGGGTCTCCGTTACACATGTCCAAACCATCTCAACCAGTGTTGAACAAGCTTTTCTTCAATTGGCGCTACCCCTAATCTATCACGGGGTACTACTGTACTCGTAGTAAATTGTTACCTTGTAATGAGCAGGGAGATGTTTAGCATGTGTTATGGCAGAAAGGGTAATGTCAACGTAGCAGAAAGCCTGTGTAATTGTTACATGAGGATAGTACGCACTATGGACTAAACCTTAAACAGTAAAACCTGAATTAGAGAATAACAAATTAGAGGTGATTGATGGTAAAGAAAGTTGAGGGTAGCGAGAAGAGCTGACCAACCTGAGTACATAAATTGTATATCAGCAGAAATTCATGGATCAGTGCTCACAATCCATGGAAGAAACAAAAAAAAACAAAGCAATTATTAAGATCAGATAACCAATTATAGACAATGTTGTAAAGGCATATACTACCATGGTTACGTACCACCAAGAGCTATAGCGTTAATATATAGGAATGGATTTAGACTTTGCGAAAAAATAATGAATGCCAAAACCAATCAGAATATGCACAGAACAAAGATACAAAGTAGTTGCAGAAGGTCCACATGAAGAGCACCGTCTGTACCTCTCAGGAACCTACTAAAAGGGCAATGGACCCTATTGTCCATGATGCACAGCCTGCAAGAACCTGAAAGGAACATAAGCAAAAGCCTCACTTGCAAACACAAACACTTAGCTCAATAAAATTGACCCTGACCCAATCTTATATGCGGCTTCCCCAACAGGCACCTAATTTTTTAATGCATTTCAGGTCGCTGCATACTTTACAAAATATACCAAATGGTAAGCCAAGCTCTGAGTATGTACTGCCCAGCCTATCGAAATCTGAATTAAACCTAAGCAAAAGCTTTTATATGAAATGTAAACACGTAGTCCAGTAAAATGGATTGTAACCTATTTCTGAGTCACTTCTTCAGGAGAGACGTAATCACTATGCAAAGTCAGTCATGACATTACACACTGATCTAAAAAAATTCTACAGCATTCATGCATAGACCGATGTCATGCGCCATAGCACAGTAGACAGCACGCTGGCCTGAAACAGAAGAAGCACAGAAATGGCCGATCGAGCTGCTGGACATTGGCAAGCTGAAGGTTGGCATAACCATGCCAGCATAGATAAAAAAGAGCACATTAGTCTTTTAAACAGGGAAACATAAACTGCATGTCGGAGAAGTAGAAGGGTGAAATGGAATGAAACGTTACCGATGCAATTGATGCTATCATCAGGAAGACCTAAATTTAGGTCTGCACAACATGACATGACATTAGCACATGGCATCATTATGTTAAGCTTGTACACCTCCTAAATATTCTGCAAATTTGACAAACAATAGGCAATCATTCAGTAACATACTGAGCATGTGTTTGACAACAAATATTTACTGGTCTCTAATAGAAAATCCAAAACTGAACTACACGATGATGACCTGAACATTAAGAGAACTACAAAATTCAGCACCACCACACTATTGAGGAAATTGCCAAATACCTTCAACCATCTATCAGTATTTATCCTGAGCGCTTTGCAAGGAAGAAGTTTGGCTCACATGGCGCGCCTGTCACATGATGCAGGAGGAGGTGGGCACTATTAGCGAGAGGGAGGGGCCCTGCAAATGAATTTTCATGTGCATATCAATATATCATATGGAAAAATTGAGACAATAAAAAGAGAAAAAAAGGAGAGCATACTTGCTGGCCTCATCTCACTGGGCGACCGCGGAGGGCGCTTGGTGCCTCCCTGCGCCAGCGGGCGGCGGACGCGGCCGTACGCGCTGCCGTCGCTGCTGCAGGAGTGCGCGAGGATGAAGCGCCATGAGGGAGGTGGCCGGAGGCGGGCGGGCGCTGTTGCGGGGCCATGGCGCGCCCCAGCGGCGTTGGTGCGTAGGAAGCTAAATGTTTACTACAGAAGTCAACGGTAGCTAGAAAGCCAACATACTGAAGCCTATAACCCAAATGCCGAAGCTCAAGGCTGTGTTTGGCGTGGCTTCTGGGTGCTCCGGCTCCGCCGGCTCCGCTACTGTAGCGCAACTGTAGCGGAGACGGGAGAAGCATCCTTTCGGCAGCTCTTCTGGCTCTCCTCTGGCCTGTGCAGGAGCTAGAGCCTTTTTCTTGATCGCTATAGGATTGTATAGGAAGTAATAGGGATGAAGGAGCCGAAGTCGAGCATGCAGGAGCCCAAACAAACGGCCCCAAATATACGAGAGAATTTTTTTTCTTCTCTTCCTGTGTTTTCTCTATGAAATTTCTGCATAATTTGTAAAACCTAAATGTTGAAGATCAAATTGTGAGATTTCTGCATAATTTATAGGGGAAATTTCTTGTGTGCCATTAAAAAAGATCGCAATGCTCTGTGTGTTTCTGGAAAAGTTCAGTGGTCTTCAGCGTCACTGCTCTAACTTTTTTGTGCCCTCCATGCCACTGCCGTCAGTTTGAGCTCTAACACCGTCAAACTGCAGGTGTGAAAAGACGAAAATACCCTTAAGTCTAAATATGTCATTAATATTTTTGAGCATCTTAACGACTTCAAATGAAAAAACTCAAAACTAGAAAGTTGTAGATCTCGTCGAGATCTATAATTTTCATATAAAATTATCTTTATTTAATTTCACAAAAAAATATATGATTTTTCTAAGATATATTAATCATATCAAATCATATTTTTTTGGAATTAAATAAAGATAATTTTTATATGAAAATTATAGATCTTGACGAGATCTACAACTTTCTAGTTTTGAGTTTTTTCATTTGAAGTCGTTAAGATGCTAAAAAAATTAATAGCATATTTAGACTTAAGGGTATTTTTGTCTTTTTACACCTGCAGTTTGACGGCGTTAGAGCCCAAACTGACGGCAGTGGCATGGAGGGCACAAAAAAATTGGAACAGTGGCGCTGAAGACCGCTGAACTTTTCCAGAGACACACATGACATTGCAATCCTTTTTAATGGCACACAGAGAATTCTCCCTAATTTATACGTTCCGAACAAGAACTAAATCTAGAATACATAAGACTTATTCTGATTTAACCTTGCACGTGATGGAAACACTATAAAAAACAGTTACAACTGCAGCACATAAATAAAAACAAAATAAAATGTATAATACCTGCAAGCCTTTATTAGGTATAATGTTTGAACAGTTGAATGCTTAGGTTAATTAAGTCACAACTCGCAACTGCTATCTTTAGCGCCATACATTGTTTGTTATTACGATGTGATACTTTAAGATGAAGATTCTTCGTTTTTTTTCTGTTTAAAACCTCTACTGAAAACTGGACAGAACCAAAAAGGACGAGGCCGCGCCGTCTCCGCGGCCTCTTAGCATGGCCACGATAGCCTGCTCTGTTAGTCCCGTTCGATATTGTTTTTATGGTTCAAATCGTGTCGTTTTTATTTTTCACTATGAGTTTGTCTTCTCGTGATTGGACTGAAGGGAGAGCAGGTCCTGGCCTGTCTCCGTCCGTCCGTCGATCCTGAACACTTTTTATAATATACGATCGTCCGAGCGAGCACATGGACTGGGTTTGCGACGAGCGTGTCCTGTCCTGTCTTGTCCTGTCTCCTGGCAGATCCTCACAGTGCGTGCGTTGATCCGGGCAGGGGTGGTGAACTGGTGATTTGGCAGGGAGGCAATCTGATGTACACTACTCTACTTGATTAGGGGAGTGGAACCCAACG